ATTGTTGTTTGGTGGGCCTGGGCTGAATTCGAACCCACCACTTTAGGTGTATGTGTCTGGTGCCTTAGCCACTTGAGCCACAGGTGCTGAGCCGAAACATGCTATTAATTAGACTATTTTACAAAGCATTCTATAACCAAAGGTCTCAAGATGCATAAAAATATAAAAATATTTTAATATAATAAAAAAAAAATTTTTTTTTTTTTTGAGACAGAGCCTCCAAGCTGTCACCCTGGGTAGAGTGCCATGGCATCACAACTCACAGTAACCTCCAACTCCTGAGCTCAAGCGAGTCTCCTGCCTCAGCCTCCCAAGTAGCTGGGACCACAGGCATCCTCCACAACGCCCGGCTATTTTTTAATTGCAGCTGTCATTGTTGTTTGGCGGGCCCAGGCTGGATTCGAACCTGCCACCTTAGGTGTATGTGGCTGGTGCCTTAGCCACTTGAGCCACAGGCGCTGAGCCAATAAAAAATATTTTTAAAAAAATTAAAAATATTTTAATATAATAAAAATATTTTATTCCATAAAAATATGGAATATGGGCTCAGCGATACCTGGCTATTTTTTGTTGCAGCTGTCATTGTTGTTTTGGCAGGCCTGGGCTGGATTCGAACCCACCACTTTAGGTGTATGTGGCTGGCACCTTAGCCACTTGAGCCACAGGCACCGAGCCACCAAACCCGTATTTATAAGTTTATTTGTAAAATTCTTGTTAAGAATTTTGATATATCTTAAGTGTCTTATATAATTTGTAAGTTGGTATAAGGAAGAGTATCTTCCAAGAACTATTTTTCCTCTCCTAATTGCAACAAAAAACCATGTCTGTGTTGTCATACTGTTAAAGCTGCAAGTGTGATCCTGGATATTGCCAAGCTGCTATAAGAAGCTCTTTAATCAACAGGCTAAGTAGGAAGTAAAAACATGATAAAAATTTATATTTGTTTTACAACTTTTATTTGGGAATTTGAAAAAATTTCATGAAGTAATGGCCAAAAGTAAAACATCAAATTTATAGGTGACAAAACAAGAAGGAATTAAATGATTTTACTATAAGGACAAATTAACCCAAGGGTAAGGAAACTAAAATGAAGTGCCATTTATCAGGAGTCAATTTTATCTTGTTGTTTTTGTGTGGGGCTTGGGCACTGGATAGGAAACAGAACAAATGGCTGAAAAGAAATCGAAGAAGAAACATGAGGAAGAAGAGGAAGATGGGGTGAATGCAGAGAACTTCCAGGAGTTCATCAGACAAGCAAGGTAGAAGATGTTCTGATTAATGAAAACCGTCTTATTCTCTCTTTTATACTGCCCATTAAATATCCAGCATGCTCTTGTTTCTGACATGTGAATATGAATGAAGTTACTTTCAAAGTTAGGCACAGTGGCAAGTACCCATAAATTAGCTACTTGCGGATCCTAGAGGCAGGAGGATGGCTTGAGGCCAGGAGTTTGAGGCCAGCCTTGGCAATAGAATGAGACCCTATTTCTAATGAAAAAAAAAAAAAGGAAAGAAAGAACAACGACAACAAAAAAATCACTCTCAAAAGGAGAAAAAGTTTCATAGGCTTGGCCACTTCATATCTCAGCCAATTATGTTGCTGTTGTCATGGCTTCAGTTATCAAAACACTGCTGCTGGGTATTCGGGCTGGAGTACTAAACAGCTTTCAAAGTACACACTACTCATAACGCTGAGAGAGCCCTTTGGAAATTTGAAGTTAGAGGCTGCTAGTGTTTACTGGGTCTGAATTTATCCCTGATCTACTGATGTAGTGGAGATGACAAAATTTTGCCTACACTGAGTGGGTTGAGAAATTGGCAGTTTCTCAACACTGTGAGGATTATGCCTAATTTATATAAAATAGAGCAAGTTTTTCATGCTTAGGGTTAGCCTTTGGGAATAGAAAATCTGAGTATTCAGTTCTCTTTCTAGATATAAGTCAGCTGGGCCATTTTCCTCATTTATGTTAGATTTCCAGAGGAGGAGACAACAAAGGCACTTAATGATCTCATAGAACTCACACTGTGGAGACTTTTCTAAGTGGGGAATTGTACAAAATAAGTAAAATAAGAAAGGCTAAAGCATCCTGTTACTTAGGTTTCAACCATCAAAGTCACAGTAAGGGGAAAATCAATAGAAAATTAATAGTGTTGATTTATGAAGTTAAATCAGGTTGGGATTTATCTGTCATCAGCACAGTATGATCTTTATTTAATACCTTGTACAGACATCACTATAGTTTCAGTATCATGAGCTTAAACACTCAGCAAACCAATACATCATTTTGTAGGAGTCCATAATTATATGATAGATATTATTTTGTTGATATTCTTGGGTCTCGAGTAATGTGATCAATAAAGCAGGTTACAGATACAAAGCAAGAAGCAGTTTCTTACATCAAGGTTATAAAAATAGAAAAGGACTAGTTTAAGTTTAGAAAATAGCTCTACTTTAAAGATAAGAGATTAATTTCTGATTTCTTCTTTGGATCTTCAGAATTCCTAAAAATACTTTAAAAAAGAAGACCCATCCTTTTTTGTTTGTTTATTTGCTTTTGTTTTTGTTTTTGAGACAGTCTCATTCTGATACCTAGTGTGGACTGCCGTGGTGTCATAGCTCACAACAACCTCAAACTCCTGGGCTCAAATGATCCTCTTGCCTCAGCCCTCCAAGTAGCTGGGACTACAAATGCCCAGCTATTTTTAGATACAGGGTCTCACTCTTGCTCAGGCTGATCTCGAACTCCTGATAAGAGTTTGGGCAATCCACCCGCTTCAGCCTCCCAGAGTGCTAGGATTACAGGTGTGAGCTGCCATGCCCAGCCCAAACCCATTCTTTTAAAAAGTGATGTGTATTTCCCCAGCAGGTCTAACTGGTTGCTAAAAGTGAATGATGGCTTGGCACCTGTGGCTCAAGTGGCTAAGGCTCCAGCCACATACACCTAAGGTGGCAGGTTCGAATCCAGCCCAGGCCCGCCAAACAATAATGACGGCTGCAAAATAAATAAATAAATTAAATAAAATAAAAGTGAATGACACATGCTGTTAACTAATTATGTAGATTTTGAGATAAAATATATTGGAACATATTACTTCTGATTGTGGATTAAGTGTCAACTGTTGGAATGTGTGTGGTAGCATCAGTTTGGAGTGAGTACCTGGATGGTTTGTCAGAGCTGGTAAATTCAAATACCTGCAGGAGTCAGCCAGGGAAACATAAATTATAAAATGGGCAGAGGATAAAGCGGCTTGTATTTTGACCAACCATAACCTTTGGCATTTAATATTCTGTGAAGGGCCAAATAAAACACACTGACAGGCAGAGGCAGCTGCCCGTTTGCAATGTCAGCTGTGGATCTTTGATAGTTACTTGTGGTACTTTTCGTGTGACACTCAGCTATTTTGGAGACATTGGTGCATACGCTGAGATTCATCCCAGTAGTTTCTAAGTTCTCATTAAAATGTGTTCTGAAGATGGGATAGGTTCTTGGTAATGACACGGGCATGCCTCACTTCTGGCTGCTTACCTGGAACATAGCCAAGCTTCAGGAGAAAGAAAAGAAAAAGACTGTGAGAGGCTGCTACAGATGTTACAAAATCTATGCTTGGTATGTTAACCAGAACACTTCCTTAGGCCTTCACCCGCTTCCTTATACTTCATATTGTGTGAGTGTTCATAAACAGGATATAATTTCAACCTTTAGGAGTGACCTTGCATTGTGAGGGGTCTACACAGTGAGGTATCCCAACCTGTGGCCTGCAGGGCCTCATGTAGGTTTTGTGAGGACCTCTTCTGCATTTTGATGGTGTCAGATATCACGAAAAGTATGCACAGACCTTTTTTTTTTCCTTTTTTTTTACTAATTAGCTTTTGTTAGTGTTTGTATATTTAATGTGTGACCTAAGACCACTCTTACTTTTCCAATGTCTAATAGACAAAAAAGAAAAGGTCGGATACCCCTGGATGGTAAAAGAACTCATTTGGGCATAACACACTAGTTATGCTGGTGTGTTTCCTTATTTCTGCGGGAGGCAGTTAAAATGACAAATGACTCCTTTAATAAAAATACTTCCATTGTCTAGAAGTCGGGTGGGTAAGCTGTAAAGGGACAGAAGTATGTATTTCAGGCTCTTTGGGTTATGTACATATGGTCATTTTTGCATAATCTTCTTTAAAAATATAAAAAAAATTCTTAGCTGGAGCTATACAAAAACAGCTTGCGGGTCAGATTTGGCCCTCAGTCTTGAGTTTGTTGACTTCTGATAGGGCTGTCCTGCGGGTGACTACTGAGCCCTTGAAATGTGGCTAGTATTAAGGAAAAGAATCTTTAGTTTTATGTAATTTGAATGTATTTTTTTGTTTGTTTGGGGTTTTTGTGTTCTTTTTAGCAACTCCACTGTGCTCTCTAATTTTATTTTAAGTAGCCATATGTGACTAATAGATTCCATATTAGACAGTGCTCCTCTAGAAAATTCACTGTGTGACAAATAAAGCCTTATCATGGTTTAAATTTTTTAGGTTGCTTGTATTTATATTTCCTTTTACCCATCTATTAATAGGGAATTTTCAGCTTGTGCTTTTCATTTTCTGCTTTTCCAGCTAATTCTGTTTCCATAATAAAATCTGGTGGAAAGATTTTTCAGGATAGCTTCCTGCCTGACTGTACTTTTTCTCCTCATTTCAGTGAGGCTGAACTGGAGGAGGTTTTGACTTTTTACACCCAAAAAAACAAGTCTGCCAGTGTCTTCCTGGGTACTCACTCTAAAAGTTCTAAGAACAGCAACAGTTATTCTGATAGTGGAGCAAAAGGTGGTAAGTATGCTGGTTAATAAATGAAAAATAGAGCAAGTGAACAAATTAGAAATGCAAAGGGGAGTCAGGAATGATGTGTCAGCTAAGCACTAATAGTGTCCAAGGTGGTGAATCTTTGTAGCGTAGGATGAAAGTGGAAGTTTGGGGACAATGGTTTTCGTCCTAAAAGCAGAAGAGGATTATGGTCTTTTTTGTTTTTCCTATGGTCATTTACAACAGCAAGCTTTTCAAGAAAAGGTGGTAATAGTTAACATTTAATGAATACTTATCATACTATCTGTTGGACATGATCATGTTTTTTACTACCAAAAATCATGTGGAATAAGCACTACAATAAAACTTCCTTACAGAAAAGACAAGACCTAAAGGAGACTGAGTAATTTGCTCAAGATTACTGTTCACCATGCAGGGACATGACTTTGATCCATAGTCTGCCTGATTCCAAGCTTGTGTTCTTAATCTCTGCTTTCCTGCCTCTCCTACTGATTATTTCTCACTCTTGTCAAGTTTGTGCTTTTTCTAGCTCAATATTTTTGACATTTTGAGTAGAATTCTTTGTTGTGTGGGGCTGTTCCATAGCTGATGTGATGCCTCATATCCTTGATTCTACATGCTCTTTGCTTTCTTCAGTCATTGTGATAACCCAGAATGCTTCCACATGCTGCAGAACTCCATGTACAGGGATTTTAGAATTGAATATGGACTGGGCTGTCTAACCCGCATCATCATGTTAAAAAAATAATAGTAACATTATAAATAAAGCTCTGTGCTTTAACCACAGGGTCATTTAAAACCTAGATAAGAGTAGAAGGCATGGGTAATCAACATACTGATTTTGTCGGTGTGTACTAGACTCATAGATGGAGACTTCTTCCCTGCTCTTAAGGCTACCATAATCTGTTGTGGAAATTTGTTTTTTTGTGTGTTTTTGTTAAAATAGAGTCTCACTCTGTTGCCCTGGTTAGAGTGCAGTAGCTCACTGCAACGTCAAACTGCTGGGTTCAGGCCTTTTGGGCAGTTGGAACTATAGGCATATACTACTATGCCTGGCTAATTTTTCTATTTTTTATATAGACAGGGTCTTGCGCTTGCTCGGGCTGGTCTCAAACTCCTGAGCTCCAATAGTCCTCCCACTTAGGCCTTCCAGTGTGCTAGGATTAAAGGTGTGAGCCACCATGCCTGGACAGAAATTGTCCAGAATTTCTGGACAGAAATTGTTCATTTAAAATGTAGAATGAATTTTTCCAAAGAAAGAGTATTAATGTTTTAAAAATGGATTTAGTTCATAGGCCAACTCAGAAAAGCCCATTTAACACACTGTGTCATTAAAATATTGTATTACTAGAAGTCCTCTTGAATCCAGACCTCTTCTTTGAGTTTCCTAATTTCATTCATCCTTCTACACATTTTTTACTAAGCCCCTATTATGTGTTAGGCACTTTGATAGCTGCTAGGAATACAATGACCAGGACTGTCATAGTCTTTAGCATTACAAAGTTTGTTGTCTAATAGATGAAGTTGGGTGAGTAAATACAAGAAGGTTGGTGGAAGCTCTGAATAGCCTCTGTAATTATAAGTGTTGGGCAAGGGAGGCTGAGGAATTCTTGTAATAATATTAGGGTGGAGAAGTGTTCTAACGTGGGGCGGTAAATAAGGGCATTCATAGATGGGTAGATGGGTTTCATATGGTAATATCTCCCCTGGCAATAATGGGGAAGCCCTAACAGCATGTAGTGGCCACACCTTTGTACACGTGGGTCATTTGAAATTCTAGGGGTCATGTGTTAAGGACTACCTTTGCCTAAAAAGAGTTTTCTCAGTGACGGAAACAACATTAGGACAGTTCATAGTATAGTGTCTGACTCATTTCAAACATGAAAAACAAGTGTGTGATAGCAGTGCCACTGCTGGTGGTAATCGAGAAGAAAGAATTCATGTGTCCTTATTCTTTCACTCTAAAAGATGATCTGGAAGTTAAAGTTTTTGTATGAACCTAGTTCTTAACAAAGATTTTAGACTATTTCCCTACATGATTAGCTCCGGTTATTCTGTTTCAAAATTCTGTAGAAGAGAAAAATTAATTTATTAGAATTTTTTTTTTATTGAATGTATTGGTAACTCTATCTCAAGTAAAATAGGCATTTAGGATACAAAGCCATTGTAGTTATCCAGATGTACTGACATACAGTGGGGCTGCTCTTTTATCTCATGGTAGCTGCCCTGCTCCCTACATATTACTTCTTGGCTCCAGGGGGTACCCCCAATCAACTTGATCTCTCAGACCACAGGCCTCCATCCACCAGTTTGAATTCCTGGCAGAAGCATTTAATTGACCTTAGTTTTGTTTCTAGGCATGTCTAGCTTGTGAGTAGTCCACAGGTGGCCACCCTTGGGTTAGGTACCTTTCCCTGGTTCTATTAGCTGGAGTTGGGGTAAGAAATAGTTGGGAATCATTTGTGTGGTTGACTCACTCAATGGGGTTATGGGTGTGGTCACCCTTAGGAAACTCTGGTAAGACATGCAGTGTTCCCCAGCATTGATTAGTTGTTGTCTTATATTTTTGCAAATAAAATTGTGTATAGAACTACGGCTTTGTGTTTGATCCATAAGAGGCCTAAGTGCAGTATTTCTTATTTTAGATCACCCTGAGACAATGGAAGAAGTGAAAGTAAAGCCACCCAAACAGCAACTGGCATCAGAAATTCATTGTGATAAATTATCTCGTGAGTGATTTCAAACCTACATAGATTTCTTGCTCTGTGATAAATGTATTTAAAAAAAAAAGTTATCAGATGTTAAATATTTCAAAAGCATGGGACATTACCCCAAAGTTTTTGTCCTTTGTTCTTCCTTTTCCTTTAGAATTTCCTCTTATCTATTAATAACCTATTTTCCTCCCAAAGAATTTTTCATTTTCTTAAGTTTAGAAATTCTGAACACTTTCTTTTTTCCTAGAAGGATGAAAAGAAGAGGGAAAGGAATTAGCTGTTGCTAGCAGAAGCTTTGTCCTGATGCTCTAACATGTGTAAAACATGTCTGCTCTGTTTTGTGGAGGTAGCTTGTAGAAAGGACTACAAGTAAATTCCTATTTCTGTTGCCAGGTCATCTCTGGTAGGCAAGATTCATTAAGTTCATGATGAATACTCATTAAAGTCTGTATTTTTCATGATTTCTGTTTCATGCTAAGATTATTTTGATGTTTTAAAAAATGTTTATGTTTTATAGAGATTATATGTCCATTTTTCCTAAAATGATCTGTTTGTTTTGTTTTGTTTTTGTTTTTGTTTTAATAGGATTTACCACTTCAGCTGAAAAAGAGGCTAAATTAGTATATACCAATTCTTCCTCTACTTCTTTCTCTGGTCCTGCTGCTACTCTTCTGCAGAAAATTCCCAACACCCATTTGTCATCTATTATTTCAACCTCTGGCCTCACACCAGGGCCTGGCCACCATTCTTCTTTGTCTCAAATTCCTCCAGCTATCCCCAGCATGCCTCACCAGCCAGCAATCTTACTGAACACAAGCTCTGACAGTGCTTCTCCCTCCATACATCCTGGGATACAGAACATACCAAGCCCCGTTGGCCTGCCACGCTGTCGATCAGGCAGTTACACCATTGGGCCCTTTTCCTCTTTCCAAAGTGCTGCACACATCTATAGCCAGAAACTGTCTCGTCCCTCTTCAGCAAAGGCAGGTGAGTGAGAAAACAAAAGGCAGCCCGTGATGACAGCTCCTCTCCACCCCCAATGAAAAAAGAATGTCATCTCTTCCCTTTGCCTTTTCTTTTGAAAAGTAAAGGGACACATGCTGCATTGTTCTGATGGGACTAAGGAAGACTCTTTCATTTCATCCAAGAGCATTCGTTAATTGATGTAGAATGAAACAGGACTTCTTTGAGTTACTGGAGATAAAGAGATGAGTAAGACAAGGCTTCTATTTACTAGGAGCCTATAGTCTAATCATGAGATTTTCCATTACAGATAACCATACACCTATGAGTATGCTATATGCATACTTTCTGATTCAAATAGTTATTCCTGACATCAGACAAATTAGTATTTTTTATTTTCAATGTATTTAAAGTCAAGAATGACCTGGATGAAATAACCAAAGAATTCTTAAAATAGGGTATATAATTTCAATAAACTGGACCCATATTACTGGTCAAGTTTCTCCCCTTTTTTTGAGACAGAGTCTCAAGCTATCACCCTGGGTAGAGTGCCGTGTCATCATAGCTCACAGCAACCTCTAATTCAAGTGATCCTCTTGCCTCAGATTTTCTATTTTTAGTAGAGATGGGGTCTCACTCTTGCTCAGGCTACTCTGGAACTTGTGAGCTCAAGCACTCCACCTGCCTTGGCCTTCCAGAGTGCTGGAATTACAGGCAGGAGCCACTGCACCTGCCCTTCTCCCATTTTTTAATGACAGCTTTATTGAGATATAATTCATGTTCCATAAAATTCACCCTTTAAAGTGTACAATTCAGTGGTTTTTAGTATATTCACAGAGTTGTGCAATTAGTACCACTGACTTTAGAACATTTTCATTATCTCCAAAAGAAATCCTATACCTATTAACAGTCACAGTCACTGTCTGTTTCTTCCTCCCTCAGCCCCTGGCAGCCACTGATCTACTTTCTGTTTCTATAGATTGGTCTACTTTGGACATTGCATATCGTTAGACTCATACCATTGGTAGCCTTTCATGAATGGCTTCTTTCACTAAGCATAATGTTTTCAAGGTTCATCTATGTTGTAGGACGTTGTACTTCCTTTATTATATGGGTATATGGCACATTTTGTTTATTTGTTTGTCAGTTGATGGACATTTAGTTTGTTTCCACTTTTTGGTCACTGTGAGTAATTCTTTTATGAACATTTGTATATAAGTTTTTGTGTGGACATAGGTTTTCATCTCTCTTGCCTGTATAGCTATAGTAGAATTGCTGAGTCATATAATAACTTTGTATTTCTTCCTTTTGAGGAATTCCCAAACTGTTTTCCACAGTGGCTGTGCCATTTTACTACTAGTACTATATGAATCCAATTCTCCACATTCTCACCAATACTTACTGTCTGTCTTTTTTATGTTACCCATCCCAATGGGCATGAAATAGTGTCTTATTTTTGTAGTTAAGATTTGCATGTCCCTAGTATCTAATGATAGTGAACATCTTTTCAGATGCTTAATGGCTGTTTGTACATGAAATCTTCCTTGGAGGAATGGCTATTCAAATTCTTTACCCATTTTTAAATTGGTATATTTGCCTTTTTATTACTGAGTATAAGTTTTCTTTAATATACTCTGGATGTGATCCCCTTGTCAGATAAATGTTAGAAATATTTCCTCCCAATCTGTTGATTGTCTTTAATTTTCTTGAAGCACAACTGTTTTAAATTGATGAGTCCAATTTTTCTATTTTTTTTTCTTTTGTCACCTGTGCCTTTGGTGTCATAAAGATTTCCTCTTATGTATTTTCTAAGAGTTTTATGGTTTAATCTTTTATATTATGTCTTTTGTCCATTTTGAGTTAGTTTTTGTGTATTGTATGTCATATTAATCTAACTTCTTCTCTTGCTTGTGGTAGTCAGTTGTCCCAGCACCATTTGTTGAACAGAGTATTGTTTCCCCATTGCATTGTCTTGGCATTCTTGTCAAAAATCAATTATCAATGTAAAGGTTTATTTCTGGGATTTTAATTTTATTCCATTGATCTGTATGTCTGTCGTTAAGCCAGCATCACATTACCTTTATTATTGTAGCATCATAGTAAGTTTTGAAATGACCAACCGAGGATGATTTTTCCAGATTCGTTTTTCTTTTTCAAGATTGTTTAGGCTGTTCTGGGTTCTTTGCTGTCCTGGGGTTCATTTCCATATGAATTTTTGGATCAACTTGTCAATTTCTACAAAAAAGGCAAAGGAAATTTTGATAGAGATTATTATCTGTAGATTAATTTGAGGAGTATCTCTTTTTAAGCGCCTTAGTAAAAAACATTAAGATGAGTTACAGCTAAGCCATGTTTTGTAAGTATCCAGTTTATGTTTCTTAAACCTGGTTTTATTTGGAGTGGATATTGTAATATGTCACTTGAATCAAGAGACTAAGTTGTGTAATAAGTCATAGATATGAATATATGTATATGTCTGTGCTAATACTTAGGAGTGGTCGTTGTTCTTGTGAGTGAATTTTCTAAAATCAATAATAATCTGGTTTGAACTTTTTTTCTACATGTAAGAAATTCAGTAAGATCAGGATCTCTAGCCTGTTATTGTTGAAAGTTTAAAAAAAAACCTTCCCTTTTCATTTTTCCCAAGAGAGGGATAGAGAATGTGAGAAGCTGGTCAGTTCAGAAATATTTTCTGATGTCTGTTATAATTTCTTACTTGACATGGATTGTCTATAAGTATTTTATTTAATTTTCAGGTAGTGGAGATTTTCTTTTTTGTTGTCTTGTTTTGTTTTTGAGATAGAGTATTACTTTGTTGCCCTTGGTAAAGTGCCCTGGCTTCATAGCTCACAGCAACCTCAAACTCTTGGGCTCAAATGATCCTCTTGCATCAGCTTCCTAAGTAGCTGGGACTATAGGCACCTACTACAATGCCCAGCTAGTTTTAGAGAAGGGGATTTCACTCTTGCTCAGGCTGGTCTCGAACTCCTGAGCTCAGGCAAGTCTACCCACCTCGGCCTCCCAGAGTCCTAGAATTATAGACATGACCACCGCACCTGACATTCTCTATTTCTTGTAACTGGCTTTTAACTTATCTTAACTGTGGTAAAAGAACGTATTCTAAGTGGTTTAAACAGTAGTAGATAAAAATATAAAGACAAAATAATGTACTAGGTAACAATAGCCTACAGATGATTAGAGTTAAACTTTTCTGTGGTAGATGAATAGTTTTAAAATGAGATTAAGGTATTTTATAGCTATAGACTTTTTAAGGTCACATTATCCAATTTCAAAGGTCATTACTAAAAGAATAAAAGTATGTAAATTCTAAACCTGTGGGGAGAATAAAAATGATTTAAGGGGGGGAAACACATATAAATATAGGAGTATATAAGAAAAAGAATAGAAAAAGCAAGAAAAATAGAAATTTAAAACATGGTAAATGGAGTCCAAATATATGAAGACTCAAACACAAATGGATTGAACTTAACTTATGAGAAGATTATCAGATTGAAGTTTTAAAAAATTCAACTATATGTTGTTTACTAGAAAGCACAGCTAAGGTTAAGGAAACAGAATAGTTGAAAGTAAAAGAATAAAGAAAGAATTACCAGGTAAGTACCAACCAGAAGAAAGATGGTGTCAATACATTAAAAATGCAACAATGAACTTTAAGATATAAAACTTTCTTATAGATAAAGAGTAACTGCATAATTACAAAAGGTTCAGTTCAGTCAAAAGGTAAAACAATTCTAAAAGTGTCTGCACCTAGTAAAAAAGCCTCCAAAGATGTAACACAAAAATTAAAATAGCTGTATGAAGAATCTATAAGTCTGCTGTCTTAGTGGGAGATTTCCACATGCTTCTATTATTTGTTAATACACTAAACTGATTATTTTTTCATTAGAAAAGGTAAAGAGGATTTGAGCAAGTTGGTAAGTTTATCTACAGATCATGTTATAGGACTTTTCACCCAACAATTAGAGAAAATACATTTTCAAGCATACATGATATATTTATAAAACTAAGACATGGTCTTATTTCTTAAAGAACAAATTTCAAAGACTTGATTTCACACAGCTATATTCTTTGTTTACACTGCAGTTAAGTTGAAAGTCAGTATCAAAAAGATACATGACAAATCCCTGTATATTTCAGAATTTCAGCATGAAAGAAAAAATACTAATGTAAATAAATTTAAAAGTATTGGAACTGAATGATAATGGAAAAACTGCATGTCCAAACATGTGGAGAACAATGAAAGACAGTACTTAAAGGGAAATTTACTGCTTTAAATACTTAGATTTGAAAAGAATACAGGCTGAAAATTAATGTGCTAAATGTCTGACTTTTGATTTTACAAAAACAACACTATCATAAATCAAAATAAAGGAGAAAGAAAGATGTAATAAAGATAACCGCAGAAATCACAAAATAAAGTAAAATAGAGGAGATTAAAACCAAAAGTGGTTCTTTGAAAAGCCTCATAAAGTGTGAAACTTCAGATGAGACTGACCAAGTAAAAAAGGGAAGTCATCGATAAATAATATAAGGAATGAACATGCAGATACGGAAAATATAAATATACCGAAAATGACAAAAAGAATATGATACTGTTAATTTTATTCCAATAAACTTGAAAAAATACACAAAAAGGATAAAAATCTACAAAAGTGTAACTTATATAAAGTTGAGTCAAGAAAATGAAGAAAGTCTGAAAGTCCTATACATATTAAAATAATAGATACAGTAGTTAAACATCTTCTCTTAAAGAAAACATATGGCCCAGATACTTTTATGGGTCAGTTTTAACAGTCTTTCCAGAGATAGACAATTGCAATGTTAAAAAGAAATCTTCTAGAATATAGAAAAAGAGTGCTCCTCAATTCATTCTGTATGGCTAAGTTTCATCTTGATAATATGTGTAAAACCAGTTGAGGACGGTATTCAAGACAAAAATTATAGACCAGCTTCATTTATGAACATAAATGCAAAAATTCTAATCAAAATAAAAACCAGCCCAATCTAACAACATCTAAAAGATAGTAGTACACCATGAGCAAGTTTATTCAAGGAACATAGGAGGGTTAACATTATAAGCTCTCACCTAATGGGTACAATGTAGGGGATATATGGCTCACCTCCTGGGTGAAGGGCTCAACTGCAACTTAGACTTTACCTAACAAATGCAAACAATGTAACCTAATTGTATGTACCTATATATTAATCTGAAATTAAAAAAAAAAACTATCATTTGCCACTTTAGCAGATTAAAGGATAAAAACCATGTTTATCATCATTGTAAATGCAGAAAAAGAATTTGATAAAAATTCTACACTTATTCATAATAATAATTCTTAGGATACTAGGAATAGAAGGAATCCAGCCTTCTTACCCTAAAAAAGGGTATCTGCCCCAAACCTGCGAGTGCTATCAGTCTAAATGGGGAGGTGATGAAAGCATTCATTTTAACATTAAGAACAAAATAAGAGGCCCACTAATGTTGCTTCTGCCCAGTGTTTTACTGGAAGTCAGAACCAGCCATAGTATGATATGAAAAAGAAATTGTAAGCATGCAGATCAAAAGAGAGGAAATAAAATGGTTTATTTGCAGATAATATATTATTTACATAGAAAACAGGAAATAATTATAGCTACATTTTAGAAATGAGGGTTTTTAGCAGTAAGATAAGATCAATATTAAAAATTAATAGCTTTTAAAATTACTTGCCACAAAGTATTAGAAAACAATTTTTTTTTTGCTTGTGATAAAATATATGTAACATAAAATTTAGGCCAGATGTGGTGGCTCATGCCTGTAATCCCAGCACTCTGTGAGACTGAGGCAGGTGAATTGCCTGAGCTCAGGAATTCAAGACCAGCCTGAGCAAGAATGAGACCCCATCTCTACTAAAAATAGAAAATCTAGCCAGGTGTTGTGGTGGGCACCTGTAGTTTCAGCTACTCAAAGGGGATCACTTGAGCCCAAGAGTTTAAGGTTGCTGTGAGCTGTGACACCATGATACTGTACCGAGGGCAACAAAATAAAACTGTCTCAAAAAAACCCATAAAAGTTACTGTTTTATCTGGTTTTTAAGTGTTAAGTACACTAAGTACACTCATATTATTGTGCAGATGTCATTATCAACAAAACAGTGTTTTTAAAAACATCGTTTACAAGAGCCCTAAAACTATAAGCCACCTATGGATAAATTTAGAAAAGGCTTAGGAAGTTGTATAGGACTATGTGGAAAGATAGACATTCCAGAAAACCTAAATAGATAGATTAATATACCATTCATATGCATGGGAAGATTCAGTATCATCAGTGTTTTAGTTCTTGTCACATCGGTCTCTGGATTCAATACCAAAATCTCAAGTTCTAACCAAAATCTCAGTTCTAACCAAAATCTCAAGAAGTTTGTTGTTGAACTTGATAAACCTACTCTAAAATGATAATCTAAAGGCAAAAGGCAAAGAATAGTGAGAACCTATTGAAGAAGAAAAATGAGATGGAAAATTAATCATGTCAGATTGTATAAAAAAAATCACATTGTATCCCACATATGCATGAATGTATTCATGATCTATGTGTATTTGACTTAATAAAATTTTAAAAAAAGACTTAACATAAAGATGTGATAATTAGGGTATGTGGTATTGGCAAAGGTACAGAGATTGCGACAAGTGGAACAGAAAGGAAGGTTGGAAACAATCACACAGATAGATAAAACTTAGACATCTAGCACAGATGGCGTTCCAGATCAATGGAAAAGAAGGGATTTCTCAGTAAATGGTTCTGGGGTAATTGGTTATCCATATAGGAAAAAAGCGAAATTAGATTCCAACCTCACACCATGTGTAAAATCAATACCAGCTGCAAAACTAAAAACTTTAGAATAAAATAAAGGAGACCATCCTTAAGATCCTACAACGTGGAACAAAAGTAAAAACTAAAGCCCAACTCCTATTAAGAAAAAAACAACATAATAGAAAACTGATACATGTTATCAGAAAAGAGATAACATGCTCAATATCATTAGAAATTAGATGAATGTAAATGAAGACTACCATGATATTTTATACTAGTTGTCCTCAAACTATGGCCCGCAGGCCACATGCAGCCTGCCTAGGACATTTATCTGGCCCACTGGGTGTTCTTGCCACCACTGCCTGTCCTGCTTAGCAGCCGACTCGTCCCAGGGCCCGCAGTCTGGCCCTCCAATGGTCTGAAGGACAGTGAACTGGCCCCCTGTTTAAAAAGTTTGAGGACCTCTGTTACACCCTCCTAGGAAAGAATTAAAACATTTGACAATAATAAGTGTTAGGATCTAGATCAATAGGAAATTTTTTGTTTGTGGGAGTGTTATATAAATCTGAAAATTCATATACCCTGCAACCCAGCAATTCCACTTCTAGGCCTAAGAGTTCTTCCACATGTACACCAGCAGGTGTATGCAAAAGTATTTATTCATATGAGTATATTGCTTTCAATATACATGAGCATGAAATAATCAGAATATCAACTGATGGGGAAATAGAAAAATAAATTGTGGTATATTTACAAAATGGGATACCATTCAGCAAAGGATGAATCTTGAAAGCGTGCTGTTGAATAACAAAAGCAAGTTCCAGGAAACTATTTCAATAGGATACCATTTTTATAGAGGTCAAAAACAAGCAAAATTATCTAGTATTTTGTTTATATATGCTTATGAATAGAAACACGTACATAAAACTATAAGAAAGGAAGAGAATGAATGAGAAGGGGAGATTAGGGGAAGAGCAAGCACGTCATTAATGCACATTATTGGTGGTGTAGTTCCAGGGTTGGGTAGTAAATTTACATTTGTTATAACTATATATACACCTGTAATAAATATTTTTTTGTGCCAAATAATATAAACATGAAAGAGTTTCAGATTTTAAAAATCTGTTATGCATGCAGAATGATCATGGTTACATTAGCATTAATACAAGGACAGAAACAGGCATGAACTGTTTTTACTTTTCTGAGTTTTTAAGTTAACTTTTTTGAGGTAAGGTCTCACTATATCACCCAGGCTATTCATAAACCCCTGGGCTCAAGTGATCCTTCCACCTTAGCCTCCCGAGTAGCTGGAAGTATAGATGTGTGCCAGCCACCATACTGGCTAATTATTCTTATTTTTTAGAGTTGAGGTCTCACTATCTTGGCCAGACTGGTCTCGAACTTCTAGCGTTAAGGGATCTTCTGCCTGAATCTCCTTAGTAGGTGGGGGTTACAGTCATGAGCTACAGTGCCTGGCAATTTAATTTTTTAAACGAGATGTGTGACTTTTATATTCAGGAACAATATGACTCTTGATTTTATATAAAATAATTTTTTGCTAGAATTTCAGTGCTCAGAATAATAGAATTCTCTGATCATGTAGCTGAAAGAAGAAAATTTAAATCTGAAAGGAAAGTCTGTCATTTGAGAGTATTAAGGTTATTGTTGTTTTTCGTTGTACACTCATTTCGACTTTTATTCCTGTTTTCCTTTTGGGCTTTCTAAGTATTGTGGATGATCTGACAGTAGATCCTATAGATTATTGCCAAGTAAAACCATATAACAAGAAAAAGAAATGTGAACTAGAATGAGTTTCAAAGATATATTTTTAATTCATTAAGACAAAGTCTAGGATTGTTTATCCCCTTCTCCTTAAGATGAAAATGCTTCTTGAAGCTTTCCTACTAAGGAAAAATGCAGTGATAAATATGTGTGATAGTTTGGCAATAGGAAGTTTCTAGGATATGGTTGGCATTTATTTTTACTTTTGTGACCATTCGAAAATAGTTTATTACTTCTTATGTTATTAGGAGTCCTAGAATTCAACGAAGTGTCTGTTGACTTGAGATTTCTCTGTCATCCTCTTACTTTGGGGCGGGGGGAGCTGTTTTTCCTGAGTATTTGAAAACTTTTCTCCTTTTTAGCAGGTTCATGCCATCTAAAGCATCATTCAGCAATGGTCAAAACACAAAAGGAGGGAGAAGATGGGTCTTTGTACACCAAACGGTATAACCAAAGTATGGTCACAGCTGAACTTCAGCGGCTGGCTGAGAAGCAAGCAGCAAGACAGTATTCTCCCTCCAGCCACATCAATCTCCTCACCCAACAGGTATGGACAGTCTAGGGTGCCAAAGAGCTCTTTAGACCTCATGATAGGATTAATGACAGGATACTCCATCTTGCCCTGTCTTTTCTATTCCAGAACACTGATGCCTCTTGAATGAGTATTAACTTGCTTTCAAGCTAAAGAACCAAGGTGTTCCTATTCAGTTTTAAAGAAAATGACCTTCTGTTTACAGATATTGTGACGTTAAGTCTGCTACTGGCTATGATGTACCTATTTCATGGATAAACAAACTTGAACATTCATCTGTAAATATAATTTTAGGGGATCTTTAACAATAACTTCTTTCTTGGACAAAATTTTCCAGTGAGTTCTAATCTTATAAATCTTTTTACCAGAATATCAGAATGTTAAAACATTATCTTTACAGTTTTTTGGTACTTTTTTTTTTTGCAGTTTTTGGCCAGGGCTGGGTTTGAACCCGCCACCTCTGGCATATTGGGGCCAGCGCCCTACTCCTTTATGCCATAGGCACTGCCAAGTACTTTTCTTTAATTGTACCTTAAGATCTCATGATGTTTTATAGGTAATTGATGTAAGCATTTCATCATATCCTTATCCAATATATGTTATTCTCCCCATTTCATAGATGGAGGAAAGTGAGGCTGAAAGAAGTGATGTGATTGAGGTCTTTCAGCAAGCTGGATGGATAAAAATCTGTCTTGACTTTAAGTCATAGACAGATTAACAAGCATACAACACACTGAAGTTAGATAACACTTTAAGAATTTTGTGGATTCTTAGTCCTCCTTATGATTATCCCTATAGTGTTTAAATGAAGGAGAAGCCATATCTTTTCCTCTTCCTTAATGCTAAAGGGCATCTAAGTCCTCCAAAGGAATTATTGTAATTGAATTCCACAGTTCAATTTTGCTATATCTTTGTCATGTCAAATTTCTCAATTGGTGGTAACTCTGTAATGACAATCAAGTCTTAAAAAAAAGCGAAGCAGATTACTTTAAGTACATGCTAAAAGTAGGCAACATACTGCTCCCTGGTGGTATTGTACTTTCCAGTATAAAATTCAGAACCAAAACTACAGGTAAGCCTTTTGTGGGCTTAGCTTTACTCCAGCCTCGTCCCAGTGTATCAGGCAAGAAATATTTACTTTTTCAGATCCCTAGTGGTTTGAAGGAGGTAGATGAGGAGGCCTAACATGAAATAGGAAGCAAAGACTCTTACAGGGCAATGTTGAGACTTGAAGGGAATTTTTTACTTGAATTTTAGTAATAAAATGATGGGAAGAGAAATAGGACATGGTGATGATGGCAGGATGGGGAGCTACTTCAATTTTGAAGTGTGAAGTAGCTGTAAGAAAAGATAAAGATTAGTGATCTACCACACTTTTATCATTAGATCACTAGAGAGAATATGTTTCCAGCTTAAAAATGAACAACTGGAAGCACCAAGACATTAAAAGATTTTGTGATTACTGTAGTAAAAACAGAGCCAATACTAGTACTTACATATTATTATTTGCTAGACTGCAAAGCCTACAAAATAAAAAGATCCTGATCTTGTAGGAATCCAAGGTGAACGTATCCTGATTGGAAAGTCATCCCCGTTCAGTCCGTTCTCATCTACAAAGAACTTCAATGCCAGTGAACTAAAGGTCTGTTAGGCTTCTGGAATCTGAATTTACCATTAGATGTCAGTCTTAACTTTTAGAGGTCTTAGTAATGAGATGGTTGGTGCTTGATACAGTACAGAGGAAGTATGTAATAAGCAGGGTGGAGTAGTGGAAAAAGAGCTGGCTTAGCCATCCAGAGACCTGTGTTTTTCTGCCATTGACTAACCGTGTGCTCTTGGGCAACTCATTCAACTTCTCTCAGCCTCAGGGTCTTTATTGGTTGCTGGAGAAAATATAACAGGGTCATGAGGATAGTGTGCAAAATGTCTTTATAAAGTCTAAATGCCATATATTTGGAAAATATTATTTCAGCCATAAAAAGCTTTCAATAATAAATGTCTTCTAAATTGATTTGAAAAGGCAAGGTTTTAGATAAAATGTACTTTGTTATTGAAAAACTCAATTATAGGTTATTCAACCCCTTTCCTTTAGAGAAAGTAATTTCTTAATTTGGAATTTAGAAACGTCTGTTCTTAATTGTTCTTTTTCTGGTAAATAACCATTAACATGTTGTAGTGGTTTAATATAGGCTCTGGTGTATTTGTTTCCTGGCAGTTTCCTTCTTACTCTAGTTCTGTTTGAAAGAAAGATGCTTTAGTTGCTTACCCACTGAGGCAAGTGATGCCCTTATCTGTGGCTTTGTGTAGAGAGAGGTGGGACCGCAGACTGAGGGTTGTAGGTACTCTGCTGTTTTCTCTGGACTTGGAGCATGAAAGCTTAAACTTAGTTATCATCAGAAACACCTTCATGTCCAATAATCACTTTCAGGGGTGACCAACCTGTGGCCTGTGGGCCGCATGCTGATTATTTGAGGACTGTTGCTTAACTGCGGTGTTAGATATTAAGAAAAGTATGCATGGACCTTATTTTGTTGTTAATCAGCTTTCCTTAGTGTTTGTGTATTTAATGTGTGGCCCAAGATAACTCTTCTTTTTCTTTCAATGTGTGGCAGAAAAGATAAAAGGTTGGACACCCCTGCTAGATGCTTTTGATTTCCTCTTATTTGTGATCATGTCCTTATTTTCAATTCCCATTTTGTGTTTGTGCTTTCTTTTCTTTCTTTTTTTCTTTTTTTTTGTTTTTGGCCAGGGCTGGGTTTGAACCCGCCACTTCTGGCATATGGGGCCGGTGCCCTGCTCCTTTAAGCTACAGGTGCCACCCTGCTTTCTTTTCTTTTTTTTAAAAAAATATTTTGATAAGTTTATTGGCTATTTCCACCCCTGGTTTTATTAACTATGGATATATTTATTCATTCTGTTGTTTTATTGTTTTCAAATTTAGTGTTTTCTTGTTTTATCTTTACTAGTTTCCTCTTTCTCCTTTCTTTATTTCTTTCCGATTTCTTATGTTAGGTGCTTTCATTCATTCTTATGTTTTACTATACTTAAATCTGGGATTTTTTTCTGAGCATTGCTTTAATTATATCCCAGAAACTCTGGCATATCCTTAATTACTTTTCTAGGCAAGGAGTTAAGAGGCCTTCTACTAAATTAAATTATTTGTGCTATTTTGGAAGATGAGTCAGGAAGATTGAATTTGTTGGATATTTCTGAAAAAATCATTTTGACTATAATTCCAACTACTTAGCCTGTTAAAGCCCTTAGTGGAATTTCCTAGAAAGCTTTCTATTCCGTTGTAGGTATATGTAGGTATGTATATATGCATGCATGAATATATCACAAAACGTTTTACTAAGCCCTTGAGAGTATTTTAGGCTTTGATGTTAAGTCTTGGAGATGACATAAGACACTGTCGTTGGCATGAAATAACTATCTTGTAAGGGTGACAGCCACATATGATAAGAATAGCATGGAATATGCATGACAGAGAAATTTCTAGGGAATGGCAAAACGACTCAAAGGGGCCCCTACCCCAGCTTTTGGGTAAAAGTGGTGAAAAAGACAAGCTAAACTTGGAAGAGATTACACCTAAACAGAATCTTTTTTTTTTTTAATATATTTTAAGAAAGAAAATTTATTTTCTACTCATAATTACTCTCAAAGTGAAGGGAATTCCACAAACTGAAACCCATACTGGCCTTTCTCTATCCCATTACTCATTCCCCCACCTGTCCCTCACCCACAAAGGGTGAAATTGAAATCAGAAAGTGGGTATGAATATCCAGCCAACTTCTTCCCTCCATCATCTTAAAGACCAAGCTGTGATTTCAATCACCAGCATGGGTGAATTTTACTAGTGAAATCTTTGCTTCCTGTAAGGGGATTGGCAAATGTCAATCTCCATTTGTCTCCAACATCCGGTACATGGGCCACCTTCACAGGTATCTTAGGATTCTCCTTTTATTATTGTTGTTTTACAGTCAGTTGTCCAGCATGGATTTCATAATTGAATTCTGACATTTTCTCCAAGATCCTCACCTCTCCTGAGGACCTCTGGAGTCTGTTCTCTCTCCTGTGTCCATGTGGCAGAGTCAGCATTCTCCTGGCTGCTTATTGCCAATTCAAGGCCATTACCCATCAGCTTTCTATGGAGTCCTGATTCTTGGGCAACCCCACCCCCACCCCCACCCCCGCCAAGAGAAGTGGAGGGGGAAAGGGCTGGCGCTGACTGCGGTGCAGGTGCGAGGAGAGGAGAGCCAGCTTGGGGGACACCAGTGCAGAAACGGTGGCATCCCAAGCAGCACGCCATTCCGGACAGCCCCTAAACAGAATCTTAAAAGTAGGCAAGTAGGTGGCAGAAGAGGGTAGGAACAGCTTCTAGAATACAAATTAGTTTATGTGCATGTAGGGGAACAAAAATTCTTTAGTGATGTTGGGGGATAGGGAGTCAGCAGGGCACACCTAGGATCAAAGCTGGGCAAGGCAGGGGCTGCTTCAGGGAGTGCTGTGAATGTCCTGTGAAGGCACTTTGCCTTTATCCTGTAGCTGATGGGGGATCCCTCAGACACAGTTGCTTTGCCTTTTAGCTGGATCACTGGGGGTACTGGGAGAAGGATAGATTTGGAGGATGAGGCAATGTTAACTCCTTTTCTCTCCCTGCTCACTGGTGAACATACCAAGGAACAATGAACTTGTCAAAGGTACTTTGACAACCAAAAAATTTGACAGTAAAACTTTCAGGGACCCAGAATTTACTTTAGAGGTTAGATTAAGGAATCAGTATGGCTAAAAGCAGAACCTCATTTACTTTGTAGTTATCACTACTTCTCCTGTGACTTACCTTTGTTTATAGTCTTGAATTCATAAGAATATCAAATATTTTTCTGCCATATGACCAGTGGCTACTTTAAAAAGTGATCATGCAAGCATATGTACACTTGAATTATGAAGAGATATGTGTTCTCAGCATGTGACTAACCATTCAAAAAATACCTTACAAATCCCAGCAGAGTAGA